TCACTCTCTTCCCACTACAGGCAAAGGGAGTGGCAACCGGAACCTTATGGCTGGATCCTTCAATCTGACCATGACTAGACCCCAGCCATGACCTTTCAAAGCCCGTGGAGAAGGTCTGTGGGGCTCAGCTCCAGCCATGGGGCGCAGGGCTGCTTCCCCACTGCCACCGTGCCCAGGGCTGTGCCAGCGCAGCAATGACCTTGTTTTCAGCAAGTGCCTCTTTACTGAGCCCCTCATGGGATTTTATACTTGGTAATTTATGTGAGAAAACTGATGTATGGACAGAATGATGAAATCTTGTATTTGACTCTCACGCCTCTATGAAGGGAAATCCCCCAACAGTGGTGTCTGCCAGCAATACAGTTTCCAGCTGCAAACCCAAAACTGTTCCTCCACTGCACAGATACACAGCAGGCAACAATCCCAGACAATTAACAGTAAAGCATTTTAATTTCACACAGTGACAGCATTATTGTCTTTACGGGTCAGGAGGTTGAACTTGCTGGCCAGCTCTGCGAGCCACAGCCACCCGCGGCGGGCCTGATCCAGGCACCGGCTGCAAGAGGGCCCTTCTCCCTCTGCACGGGCGCCATTATCATGGGCTGCGTCTGCAGGTACTGGCTGCGCGACACAGAGCTGCTGTTTGGTGCCGTCGTTATTGGCTCAAATTAATGATTATAGGCACAATGAAGTAGTTGCAGGGTGAGTTTATTTTGACTGGACTTAGTGGTTTTGAGAACCGCTTGGAAATTTTCCTTTAACAGAAACTGAGAAAAATAAAATAAGCAAGGGAAGGTTGAAAAGAAAAAAAAGCCTGAGCTTTCTTCTTATTGCATCTTTTGCTCCCTGTGCCCCAAGCACGATTTGAAGATCACCCTCAGCAGCTGTGCTCACCACCCGTGCACCACGCAGGGCTGGGTGCTGCACAGGGCCAGTGGCACTGGGGAGCTCTGGGAAGGTCAGGAAGGGGGACGGTTTCCTCGGCAGCTCCTGGAGGCACCCCAGGGAGCCTGGACAAGCTCCTGTGCCTCCCGTGCAGGCTTGGGCTCCAAGGGAGGGCTCAGAATCGGGCAGTTTCCATGCAGGGTGTGACCATGAGTGCAACAGCAGCCCTGGAGAGCTCTGCTGCAGGCTGGAGCACTGCCTCTGGGCAGCGATGGCTGGGCTGCTCTGGGAGCTTGAACCTGTGCTCCTGGAGCTGCCGAAAAGCTTGTTGGTTGGTCTAGTAAACCCTTGCCCTCACCCTGCCACTTGTCAGTTAGCACCAGGACGCTGTCAAAGGCTAATGGCCAAAACAAGAGCCACGCAGCAGTGAACGTGACAGTGCCTGCACCGGCAGCCTCTGGCGGGGATAGTGGGTACCCACTTGGGTGTTGGTTTGGGTTTTTTTACTTTTTATCGAAGTGTTAGTGCTGTGTAAGCCGCAATGTCTCCTGCGAGCCCAGGTGACAGGGATGCACATGTCCCAGAGCTGGTTCAAGCCATTTAGCAGTTTTGGGGTCTGAGATGACATAAGCCAGGCAGAGCCTGCTGGGAGCTGGGCTGGGAACACCATGGGAGGGGGATTTCTGGGACTGCTTGATCCTCGCAGCCTGCCTGGCTGCGCTGCCGATCCCCGGGGTGGAGGCACCATGGTAAAGCACAGGCCTGTGCCCAGAGCCTGTCCGTCAGGTGCAGACCTGACCGAAGCCAGTAGGTGACTTTCATCCCTGCAGCGTCCCTGTGCAACTGCCCCAGCACTGTCTTGGGAGCAGCCCAGCGGTGGCACGCAGGAAGGAAGCAGCCCAGGGCTGGCAGCCCATGGCGGGGCAGGAACCTGCTACTGAATTTGTTTTCAACCAAAGAGGTTTCTTTTTCTTTCTCCCCTTTTGGGAGAATCTTTTGGGCTTACTAAAACAAACATGTTAGCTGCCAAATTGTGACAGCCAAAAAACAGGGTCATAGATGAGAAAATACATGGAAGAGTCAGATGTTGCGTAACTGTCGAGGTCGATGCCAAAACCCCAGTGAACGATTTCTGTCTCCAAGCTGCCCAGGAGGGAAGCAAAACTTTGTGTGGATGAGGATGCTGTCGGTCCTGGTTTCCCTGGGCATGTCTTCATGGCTGGGCAGCGGGAGCACTTTGGCTGTCTTGGCAAGTGGAAAATCAGTTGAAGCTGCACACAAAGCTCTGACTGAAGTTTGTCCAGCAACAAATCCAAGGGAAATGGCTGCTGGGGAGGTCGCAGGCTGGGTAGGAGACAGGAGAGGAAAGCGATGGCCATGGGGAGCTGCCTGTATGCTGAGAGCAGTGTGGGGCCAGGGGCCAGCCTACCACGGCCAGTGGGTGCACGTGCACCCGAGGCATGCAGCAGCATCTGCACGTCTTGAAATTCGGTCCCGTTTTTGGATGGGGGGGTAACAATGCAGACCCCTTTCATGAGAAAGCAGAGACGCTCCCCCTCGCTGCTCGCAACGTGGGGCTTGGCTGTGTCTGGTGTAACCCGCCCCTGGCTCCCTGCTGCAGCTGCAGCGCTCCCGTCCAGGCTCCACCGCCAGCGAGGCAGGGGAGGACGCTGCTTCTGCAAGTGGGTTGTGAGCACAGAGCCTAGACTGTAGCCAAGACACTTAAAGTAAAACTAATGAAAACCTTCCATGACTTAGCCTTTTAAATCCAAAGTTCAGTCCTCAAGGCGTATGATCCTTCACCTCGACAGTGAGCAGCTCACTAAGCCGCTCCTGCACTTCTGAATCACAGCAGCCAGAGCGTTAGAAAACGCAGCCCTGGGAATAGTTTGGCACTGACAAGGGGACAAACAGAATGAATCCTAGGAGAGCTCTTTCACAGCTTAGCATTTATGATTCACTGTTGAAATAAAATGTATTCCACAATTACACACCAGTCTTTGAGGCGTTCAGCTGCTGTATGTCTAAGCAACACAATGGCATAAGGCTCTTTTCTGCATTAGAAGTGGCTCAGTTCTAGTCTGTGAAGAAATTACTGTCTGAGTAGCTATGAATGACGCCTCATCTGAGGGCAAAGAAGAACAGTGGCTGCTCTGTCTCACCTGAGGCGAGTATCTCAGCAGCGCTGCTGTCCCAGCCAGGTCCCGAACCAGATTTACCATCTTTTGGTGTCCTGCAAGATGCTACAGGAGCTGTGCAGAAGCCACGAGCAAACCTCTCCTTGACTCTACTGGAGCCAGGATTTCACCCCCGATCACCTCCTCCTACAGAACCCTCCCGAAAAAGGCAGAACAATGAAAAAAAAAGCATTGCACATGGTGAGTTGTTATCCTCAGCGATTCCCACAGCCGTTTTATTGCCTGGAGGAAGAACGTGAACCCTGGAGGGAAGAACTTGCCAAAGTATTTAACATTTCTACATCTTGCATGGAGCTAAAGGTTCCGAAAAATCTTTAAAAATAACTGCAGAGATGTTTATTCAAGGTCTAAGGCTAGGCTAAGTAGAGTTTGAGATGTGGCTTTCAGGGGAAGGCGGCAGAGAGGAATGAGCACCAGCCTGCTGGCTTTTGCTTGGAGTTAGGGGGCCGCAGCGGCCAGGCCAGGCGGGTTCCTGCCAAAGCCACCTTGTGGGTTAGAAGGCCTGGGGGTGACTCGGTGGCTGCTGCCGCTGGGCTGAGGAGGGGAGCCCAGGCGGTTGGATGCCCTTCTGAACACTCCCCCCCGCACCCCTAGGTCCCTGCTTCCCTCGTAGGGGGCCTGAGTCTGGGGAAAAGCAGTGAAATGTCCTGCTGAGGTAGTGGCGCTGATGGCAAATGATGTCAGACATAGCCACCTTTTCTTCCTTTATAGAAATGGTTTACTAATACTCTAAAATAATCCTCCTGAGAGAAAAAAAAAAAAAAAAAAAAGGTTTTTGGTTGTTTTTTTACTTCTGTAACTAACCCCTTTAAAACAAATACAGTATATTTGAGACTAAGAACAAGCAGCAAACCCTGCCTAATGAGCTATAGGAAAAAAAAAAAAAAAAAAAAAAAGGTTCTTGGTGGTTGTTTTACCTGCCAAGTAACAACAGCATGAGCCTCCTAGCTGAATGAGGCTGTGCTGGTAGATACGGTGGGCGCTTTGCTGCCAGCGCTCGGCAGCTCCGGCAGCTGAAATCCAGCTCCTCCAAGGCACTTGAAACGCCCAGGGCGGACCGGGCACCTACCCCTCCGTGAGCAGAGCCCTGAGCTCAGAACGGCGTTTCTCACTGTCGCCTGGCATTCTCTCACAGCCTCTGTCAGGCAAAGAGAGCCTTTAGCCTGCCGCTGCAGACGGCCGAGCGGCCGGGGCTCCTTTCCAGGGGCTCGCCGCCGTCCCACGCCGGGACACCAGGAGAATCGCATCTCGCCTGGTCACGCCGCACCTGCCCGGGTGTCGCCTGCTCTTCCCAGCCCTCAGAGGCCCGGCCGGCAGCCGCCGACACCGGGGGGGACGGGCGGGGC